TGTCCCTTTGCAAGGGCCACACTGCTGAAGCTCTCCACCTGTCAGGCATGGTCCACCAGCACAGGAGCTTTATGTGGGCCACCAAGCCCATGCATAGAATGCCTGCAAACAGATATAGCCAGGCTGGGACCCCAAGAGAAGCCAGCAGACCAAGAGGCGCTCAGATTGGACAAGCTTCATCTGATGGGCAAGACTTCCCTGCAGAGTTTAGGTGCAACAGTTTCCCTGGGGATACAGTCTCCTATGGGAGCAAGTTGAGCCTAGGGGAATGGACATCTCTGGCCAGGCTCCACAATTTACACTCCCACACCAAACCCTCTGGACTCCTAATCAGTGGGCTTGCTTCCCCTGCCACTTCTCTAAGCATCTCTCACTGCCAACTCAAGTGTCCATGGTGGTTAAGGGATCTCTTTCCTGCCAGAATTTCAGAGGCCCCTGGGGTGAGTGAGTTTTTCCTTGCCAGTTCAACTCACCCATTTCCTCAGAGTAGTAGGGGGCCAGGAATGAGCCCCAGTGTGCAGTAGCCCCATGCAAGGTTCCCAGCTTCCTCTTCCTTTAGCCCAGTTTCTGTCTTCCCTCCATCCACTCTCAGGTCTTTCCCTCTAAATATCTGTTAGGAGTGTGTCTGTCTTCCTCATCCCTTAGTGGCAGCTATTCTCCCTGGCTGTGTCTAGTTGGCCATCTTGCACAAATTTTGAGGTTCCTTTTAACATTTTTTGCAAGTCACATCTAAGACAACACATTCTCATAATTTTATTTTTTTTTAAGAAAGTCTTTATTCATTCTTTACTTTTGAAGGACAATTTTGTTGTGGACAGAATTACAGGCTGGTGGGTTTTTGTCTTCCAGCATTTAAAACATTTAATTCCACTCTATTCTTGCTTGCATGCTTTCTAAAGAGAAGTCTAATATAATTCCTATCCTCCTTCATCTTGTAGGTAAGCTATTTTTTTTCCTCTGACTTCTTGGAAGATATTTTTTGTCTTTGATTTTTTTCTCCAGCAAACTTGTGATGACCAAATATAGATATTTTGGTATTTATTCTGGTTTGTGTTCTCTGAGCTTCTTGGATATTTGGTGTCTGTTATTAACATTTAGGAAATTCTGTCTTGTTTTCAGATATTTCTTCTGTTTCTTTCTCTCTTTCTTTTTCTTTTAGTACTACTATTACATGTATGTTACACCATTTGGGATCATCCCATAGTTCTTGGATATTCTGTTTCAGTCTCATCTTTTTCATTCTTTTTTCTCTTTGCATATTAATTTTGAAGGTTTCCACTGATGTATCTTCAAGCTCACTGATTCTTTCCTCAGCTGTGTTCAATCTACTAATGAGCTCTCTAAAAACATTCTTAATTTCTGTTTTGTGATGTTTTTGATTTCTAGCAATTCCTTTTTATTTTTTCTTAAGATTTTCTTCTCTCTGCTTATATAAACCATCTGATCTTACATGTTGTTCACTTCTTCAACTAAAGCCCTTAGCATATTAATGTTTTAAATTTGCAATATAATAAGCTAAACATCTCTGTCATATCTGAGGCTAATTCTAATGCCTACATTGTCTCTTCCGGTCGTTTTTTGCCTTTTAAAATAATTTGATAGATAGACATGATGTATCAGGTAATGTGAACTGAGGTCAATAGGCCGTTAGTGTGAGATTTTATTCTTATCTGGCTAGAAGTTTGTTCTGTGCTCTCAGTTGTGGTCTGCTATTATTACAGTGAAGCCCTGTTGACGTGGTGATAAAATATTAGGGAGGGGAAGCATTCTATGATTAAATCTTTCATTTTTGGTGGGCCAGCATCCCTGGGACTTGACTTCCAGAAGAAATTTTTAGCCTTTTTTCCCTCACGTTACATGAGACAGGAAAGCCAGAGAAGGTTGCAGACATGAATTGAGCTTTCTCTAAGCTCATGTAAAGTAGTTCCATAAAGAACATGTCTGTGTCATGAAGAACAGAACACTCAGGGCATATTCCAAAACAGTTACTTTTTCCCCCTCCTTCCTCCAGAAGGTGTTTTTGATTTTCACAGTGAAAATCTGGTAAACCTTCTGGAGGTAAAACTCAAGAAAGTGTGGGCCTCCTCCACCCTCAAGACTAGGCTTTTAGGCAGTTTTCTCTTTCAAGGTAGCCCACACTCAGACTCCAGCAAGCCTTCAATTACGTCAGTATTCTTACGAGCTTCCCGAGGCTTTTGCTCATATCAGGATGTGATTCCCTTCATTTGCCTTTATCACCACTTTTCAGGTGGTGGTTTGCCCTGTAACTTCAGTTCTCTAAATGATCTAAGAAAAATGTTGATTTTCAATTTGTTCATGTTTTAATTGTTGCTACTGTTGTGAAAACGAGAGTGCTAACTGCCAAACTCTTTATCTGTCCAAAAGGAAAACTGAAAACCACAAATCAGTTGACTTTGAGTCCATGCAGAGAGGTTATCCTGATTGAGCCTGGTTTAATTAGATGGAGTCTTTAAAAGAGGGTCTGGGCCCTTCCAGAGGGTCCACAAGACTTCTGACCTGCCTTTGTAGATGCAAGGTGTTATTAAGTGAAATTAGTGTGATTGGGCCACCCGTAGGAAACTATGCTCAGCCTCTGGAAGCTGAGGCCCCAGTCCTACAAATACAAGGAACTGAACTCTGCTAACAGTCATGTGTGCTCCGATGGGGTTCAGGACACAGTATCCTGAAATATGGCACCGTGGCATCTGAGAAAACAGCAGAAACAGGAGAATCTCTCTAACCTTCCTCCTGCCCTTCTCCCTTGAAGCAGGCCATAAAACCTAGAGAGAAGTTTCTGGCCTTACTGAAAGCCACAACTTCCCTATACCCAGAGGAAATAACCATCTTCTTATTGGTAATACAGGGACACAGAGAAGAAGCTGAATGAACAGGGCTTCGGTTTACTGCCATTAAATCATACATTTTAATTCAATCGCACTTCTCTATCGCTGTTCACTTCTTCATCAAACCTATCACAAAAAAATACAGTTTTACCAATTTCTTTGGGGCTTTATTTTGTTATGGAGGCTCCTGCATCTTGTACAACTTACATTAAATAAATTCATATACTTTTCTTCTGTTGATTTCTCTTTGGTTATAGAGTCCTCAGCCATGAACCTAGGATGAGTGAAGAACAGATATTTTTCCTCATCTATAGCTGAGAAGAGGGTCCGTAGCTCCCAAGAAGAAAACAGCTCAACTAAAACTTTGAGTGCAATCTTGTGAGCACCTGAGTAGTGGACCCAGCAAAGCCACTTCCAGACTCCTTACCCACTGACACTATGAAATAGTAACTATAACTTTTTTAAGCTACTAAGTTTGTAGCAATAGAAAATCAGCCATGTGTGAATATTTGTAAATGAGTGTGTGCATGTATCTGTGCATATACTTACCTAGAAAGGCTAGCATAGTCATATAATTTATCTGGAAGAATAAATAAGGACTTGAACAGTATTTATATACTGTGTGTGTTGGAAATGGAACAAATTGGGAGCATAGGGAGGGTAGGAAAGGGGCCTTTCCTTGTCTTCCCTTTAAAATTTTTTTATGTTTAAATTATATAAATGAATTACCAATACAAAAAGTTTAACATGGGGGATGGGTACTATTTCGAGCACATCGGTTGTGCATGCCTGGAGTGCCCTGTGCATCCCAGTCTTTGACTTCCCTGCAGCAAGTAATGGGAAGGAGTCAGATGGAACCTACCTCAATTTCTAAGAATTTATTTTGTTTCAGACAGAGTCTCACTTTTTCACCCAGGCTGAAGTACGGTGGCATGATCTCGGCTCACTGCAACCTCCGCCTTCCAGATTCAGTAGATTCTCATGCCTGAGCCTCCCAAGTAGCTGGGATTACCAGTGCAGGTCACTACACCCCTAACTTTTGTATTTTCAGTTGAGACAGGGTTTTGCCATGTTGGCCAGGCTGGTCTCAAACTGACCTCAAGGGACCCACTTGCCTTGGCCTCCCAAAATGTGCTGGGATTACAGGTGTGAGCCACCACGCCTTGTCAATTTCTACGAATTTTTGCACAAGTAAGGAATTGCCAGGGGAACAGAGAAATAAGAATGGCAGAAATGCAAATCCCTGATCAGGCTACAAATAAATTCACTTCATGGATAAAAGTTTCACTCTAAACATCAAGCTAATTCTAAGCAGTTCTTCCACTGGATGCTTTGAAAGGAAAATCTAACTATCATTTTGTCCTTAAATTTTATGACTGGATTTATGTCAAATACTGGACAGCATAATCTCCACTTTTACCATCTGTCTATTTAAAGAAAGTTATTTATTCTAGTGGAAAACTGGGCCGAGCTAAACATGTGGTACTTAAATGTAAAACATTTTTGGAGAGCTGCAAAGAAACATTTATCTGTTGATATAAGTGTGATTTGAAATGAAAATGTATGAGACACAGCTATAAAAGAGCATGACTGATTTTATTTCTTAAAAAAAAAAACAAATGGGCTCAAGTTTTCACAACAAAGGGAATTTTGTTTCCTTTCAACGTCCACCTTGAGATGTTTGTTTCACTCTAATGGAGCTGCTGCTACCTAGGTTTTTGCATTGCTGATTTCAAAGTTGTCCTAAGAAACTTTTAGCATGTTTTTTTGTGCATTTCTTCACTGCTTTCTATCTGAAATGGTTTGACTGTGTCCCCACCCAAATGTCACCTTGAATTGTAATAATCCCCACATGTGAAGGTGGGCCAGGTGGGGATAAAGGAATCATGGGGACCGTTTCCTCAGTACTGTTCTCATGGTGGTGAATAAGTCTCATGAGATCTGATGGCTTTATAAATGAGAGTTCCCCTGCACAAACCCTCTTGCCTGCCACCATGTAAAACATGCCTTTGCTTCTCCTTCACATGCTGCCATGATTGTGAGGCCTCCCCAGCCATGTGGAACTTGAGTTCAATAAACCTCTTTTTCTTTATAAGTTGCCCAGTCTCAGGTGTGGCTTTATTAGCAGCATGAGAACAGACAAATACACCATCCTTTAAACATGTATTTGGTATTTATTCATAGTCAAATTTTATTTGGACTGTACTCGGAGTAAATGGATGATGAAGGGGTAGGAGAAGGATAGAAACATATCATGAGCTTCTATAATGAACGCAAGGCTTTCATCTTCTCTGTTTCATCTATTTATCTCAATAAGCCTATGTAAGGTATATTACGTCCATTTGAAGGAAACTGAAGGTTAGTAGGAAAGCCATTTCTTTAAGCCTACACAGCATAAGGGCCCAACCAGAATTCAAACCAGGTCTGTTTTATTGAAAAGGACAGAAAATCAAACATCGCATGTTCTCACTCATAAGCAGTTGTTGAACAATGAGAACACATGGACACAGGGAGGGAAGCATCACACACTGGGGTCTGTGTGGGGGAACTAGGGGAGGGGCAGTGCAGGGTGGGGAGTTGGGGAGGGATAACAGGGGGGAAAATGCCAGATATAGTATAGGTGATGGGGAGGAAGGCAGCAAACCACATTGCCATGTATGAACCTATGCAAGAATCTTGCATGTTCTTCACATGTACCCCAAAACCTAAAATGCAATTATATATATATATATATATATATATATATGATAAAAGAAAAGAAAATTTAGAGAAAAAAAAAGAAAATTCAAGATCACATTACTACCCTGTGCTGCTTCTTACATTATGAACAAAATGCTTTAGGTTAAAAATGAAAAGCCTTGTAAATAAAGTAGAAAGGCCTGAATGGCAGTCAGGTGGATAACTGCCTTTGCTGGGTAGGTTGCTATTCTCAGAAGCAGAGTAGTAGGCCAGGAAAGAACACGAACCAGCCAGCAGCAAGCTAGCAGACCATGGTGGGCCCGGCCACAGGATAACACCCTGGACAGAGAAGTCACCCCTACTGAGGATGCTTGCTTAGACTGGAAATCACTGGCATGTGCTGGGATCTGGAAGGCAAAGTTTTGCCCTCTGCCATTAAGTCCTCCACGGAAGTTGAAGAAGAATATAGTAAGCCAACATGCTTCTGAGTGCCCTACAGTTTGAGTGGTGAGCAGAGGGCATTATAAGAACCAGACAAGAGAAGCACACAGACATGAGCTGTCTGCATGGTCTGTTCAGGAAGACAGATCACTCGTTCTCCACAGCAGTTACTTTCTGTCCTGAAGCATCTGGGCCACCAGAGGCAGCTGTGCCATCTCTATCGGTCTTGCGCTAGAGTTAACTTCCTCACTCAACCCCAAACCGTGGCAGTTTCAGAGGAAAGACTGTTGTCTTCCTCATGGGATGCCTGCTTCTTTGGTTTTCCTTTGCTTTGATTTTGTTTGTTGTGCTGGCTGTCAATTCTAAGGACTGGCATACTTCAGTCTTAGTGTCTACCCTGTCTGGTTCTCGCACATTTTTCCCATGCATGCTCCCCTCTCTGGGTGTCACATGACAAGTGCTTGTCATCACAAAACTTATCAACAACAGAAATGACATTCACATTCCTCTTTATAATTTAAAGTAGAATAATTTAAATAAAACAGAAGAGGAACAATTAGGGAATGTTCTATAGGGCCCCAGAGAATTTTCTTATTGCAAAATATCATCACTTTTCAGTGTGTCAAAAATTCTCTGCCTTGATTATTTGTAGCAATACAATTTCACATATGCAATGAATAATTGTCTTGATTATAGATATCAGTAGAATATTATATAGGGAATAAATAATTGACTGATCCTGGGTCTCTTTAGAAAATGAAAATATTTGAAATTTAAGTATATTTGTGGAATGTGCCTACTCTGTCATTTGTTCATAGATGGTATTTTCAGTAAGGAAAGCAAGTCTTATTACCTAAAAAATACAAAAAAAAAGAAAGAAATGAGTTACCTCTGCAAGAGAAATGCAATCAGCAAATCAATGATTTATCTAATTGCATTTTCCTCATCACCACTAGTTTAATGTATTGTGAAGAGCAAGAACACTGGAGTCAGACCTTCCTGGGGTCTGCCCCTTAATAGAATGTGAAATTGAGCAAGTCATTGAGATTCTCTAAGCCTCAGCATTTGAGGACAACACTGTTTTCCTCTCAGGAGTGTCATGAGGATTAAAAGAGATCACAGATGTAAAGGGTATAGTATGGAGCATATGGTCAATAAATGGTAGCTAATAGTGGGCTGGTCATTTTTTATCCCAGACAGATGTGCTACAGATTGGATTGCCATATTCCCAGCTTCCTGATGTTGAATTACTACTACAGTATTTTCAAAACTCCTTGTGTTAGATTTTTGTTTCAATTGGTATAATGTAAAGATGGTTAATGGTGAAATATATGTGTTTGTGGGTGTGTCTTGCATCAAGATGAACTTACATTGTTTGTATTCGTTTTTTTAAATCATGAAAGTGTGACTTTTTCCAAAATGCATCTTAAATGCTTGCATGCTTACATTTATGAGAAAAACAATATATGGCCTTGAAAATATATGTGGATCTTATCAAAAGAACCTCATTGATGGTTTTGTCATGGCGATTTACAATTCTTAATTAATTTACACAGATGCATTAAGTTCTTTCCAGCTGTGAAGACAGGTATATACACAGGTTACACTGGGGGTTGCAATCTTCCTGTAAGAAAACACAGGAAATAAGAAATATTAAGATGTCATCTCAGCAAGAGTGATGAAAACTGATGCTTTTTTAGTATAAAACACGAGTCTAGTGAAGAGGCACAAAAGTAGTTTTACATCAATCATTAGAATTTTATTGTTTCCTAAGGTGACAGCAAGAGATAATGCTCATTCAGATGCATGCATTCTGTTTTTAAAATATGTTACTTTTATTTTTATATTGCAAAAGTAATATTTGCTTATTAAATATAAAAGTGGGGAGAAAGGCAGAGAGGAAAAAACATACAGATAAGCAGAATGGAGAAAAAAATCCATCCTTAAGCCTACTAAGGAAATGTACATGCTTTTAGACTTTTTGATATTCTTGGTGCTATGATTTATTTTAAAATAGTTTTTGTTGCTGCAGAGCTATTTTATAACTTGATTTTTTCCAGTGAAATATGCAATCAACATCTTTTCATGTCAAGAAATAGACTTCTATTAACTATTTTAGTAGCTGCCTATTATCCTATTATATGACTATACCATAATTTATCTAACCAAGATCTTATCATTAGAGATTTAGGTTGTTATTTTTATTTTCTCTTCCCTTCAAAACACTGTGACACAAAAATGCTTTATATACGCTTTGTAATCATGTTTGGTTGGTGGATCAAGAGAATATTCATTAATTTAGAGCTTGAAATATATGCTGACAACTTACTCTCTGGGGGGCTCCCTGGTCAATGAGACCAGCATTGCTGAAGTGAATTGTGCTCCCTGATGTTTCTTATGGCTCTTCTTTTGTTTTCATCTTTGGGCTTTCTTAAGGAAACAAGTGATTCTCTTTGTTTAATCAGCCTTTTCCTGGTTACTGACAAGGCTAACATTTCTTATATTTTCATTGCCTATCTACGTTTATTTTATAAACTACTTGTTAATGCTCTCACCTAACTTCTAATTATGATAAATATCATTTTAAAAATGTATTTATGCTCTTTATATGTTAGGAATGTTAACACATTACATTATGCTGCAATTTGGTGCCAGTTTTCATTTGACCTTCATTTTCATATTAATTAGGTTAATGCTAAACTGTTTACTTTTATGCATTAAATATTATGCTATTCTTAAAAATAGCATAAATATAGTACCTTGCATATATGAGCTATTTAAATTCAGGAGGAATTATATTTTGAGAAGAACACTCAGATAAAGTACCAAGGTGACACTCATTATCAAAGAATCTGGAGCTTTGGCAAAATACACCAACTCTGGTTATATATATATAGATAGATAGATAGATTTGCTGTAAGGCTCAGTCTTTTGCAGGGCGAACAAATGAATGTACTAATAATATCCTTTATAGATCTGTGATAATCCTTTGAGCACATATTGAAATTTCTGCAAAGCAGCTAAATGTGTTTCTAGGACTTAAAAATTCCTAATACATTAATCTGAAAACACAGATGTCTATCTAGCCAAACAAAAGAATGTCTAATAAAGTTTTCAGTGGAAAAATTGGTGTCCAATGTCTTCAGCAACCCTAGTGTGCCATGGACCATAAGTGGTAAGCAGCTTAGCTTCCCAGTGCATCTGGATCCAGAATGCTAAATATCTAAATGCCAGGAAGTCACTCTGAACAAGCCATTTTGTTTTAATTGAATGGTTTGTTATAACAAGAGAAATGTGTTTGATTGGCTTACAGTATAGAATTCTGTTCATTTAAAAGGCAAATATTTACAAGGCTTTTTAAAAATGATCTATGATGACAGATGTGTAGCAAAACACAGATACTGATCCAAGATGGCCCAGGATTGACTCTGGCTGGGAAAAGTAGACAGTGACTTTGTTTGCCCTCGATATTCTCAAATGACACAGCACACCTAACCACTGTACTGTCTTGTCATACTGCTAGTGGAGGCTTTAGAAGCTGACCTCTGTACATTTGATTCCCCAGCCCAATTAACCTGCCAGGAATAACGGGAGTCGGAGGTGGAGAAAAAAACAACTTGAGCTGTTAATTTAAGTAAGGTAACTATCACTTACTAATTTACAATACTAGAATAAATGCTACAAGAGGAAATAATTCTCTTTACCATCATGCCTATATGGACAATCTAAGATCAGATTCTGGAGCCAATTACTTTAAAAGTAGGTGGGCCAGGCGCGGTGGTTCATGCCTGTAATTCCAGCACTTTGGGAGGGTGAAGTGGGCGGATCACGAGGTCAAGAGATCAAGACCATCCTGGTCAACATGGTGAAACCCCATCTCTACTAAAAATACAAAAAATTAGCTGGGCACGGTGGTGCGTACCTGTAATCCCAGCTACTCAGGAGGCTGAGGCAGGAGAATTGGCTGAACCCAGGAGGCGGAGGTTGCGGTGAGCCGAGATCGCGCCTTTGCACTCCAGCCTGGGTAACAAGAGCGAAACTCCGTCTAAAAAAAAAAAAAAAAAATAGGCATTGATTTTAATTTATTTTTTACCAGCAAGAAACAAAGTGGCATAAGAAATGTTGGTTTACTACTTTGTTTATATTAATTATATACAGAAACTAGAAGGCGATAGCATAAGATTGATTGTAATTGAGCCATAAATTTAACATACAGCAACATCATCCGTTTACCTGGCTAGCTCTTAGCTGAAATATATTTCTAGAGTTGAAATAGGAGAAAGAGGGCCTAAAGATAACAAATGATAAATGTCTTCTACCGACAGCCAAGTAAACACATCCTTAACATAACCTGGTGTCTACTTAGCTAGCAAATTTATTCTCCTATGATATGAATCATGCAAAGTTTGAGTATCTAAAGACTATTTATCACCTAAGATTTCTATGTTTGGCAAGTATGCCTAAGAAATTCTAGTAAGTTTTGTAAATAAAATGGCTTTTGTAGCAATTTCTATATAGTATCCAGCCTCTTGAGTGGCTCTTTTCAGCTATGTGAGGTGTTTGCAAGGTTAATTTAGATGTCCAGGAAGTATCCGCTCATTCACACAGGCCCAAGGCAGTGAGGTCCTTGGGCTTGTGTGAATTACAATAGCCAAAGAAGAATGTAAAAGGGAGCCTTGGGTAAGGATGATAGAGAATGCCACTGGACCACTGGGAAATACGTCCGTAGCCCTAGGACTTGGTTGAAATTTATAACGTCTCTGTTGGAGTAATAGGACAAAACAACTTTGGCTTATTCTACAGAAATCTGGAGGGGAAACAGGTTGGAAGGATGAAGGAGAACATCTGTTCTTTAATACCCTTCCAGCTTTAGGCTAGCAAATCTCTACCCACAGGGTGAGGAGGAGAAGCCTAGAGGGCAGTGTTCACGCTGTAGACTTGGCCTTGGTAAAGGCTTCGACCAGGAAATTATTGAGGGGTTTTTGTCCATGAATGGTAGACAGTCCCATAGGAGTCCAGTTGCTCAACAGTTCTGTAACTGACTTCAGATCAAGTTGCTCAGGTACTGGGAAAATGGAAAACACTTGGAAAGATGAAGAATCTATATCAACTAATGGGCAAAATAGCCAGATAGCATTAAACAACAATATTAGACTCACGAATATCAATATTAATCCTAAATTTAAATGGATTAAATGCCCCAATCAAAGACGCAGACAGGCAAATTGAATAAAAAGTCAAAACTCATCAGTACAGTGTATCCAGATCCATCTCAAAAGCCAGGACACACAAAGACTCAAAACAAAGGATTGTAGGAAGACTCACCAATCAAATGGAGAGAAAAAAAAATGGGAGTTGTAATTTTCGTCTCTGACAAAATAGACTTTAATAGTAACAAAGACTAAAAGAAACAAAGAAGGGCATTACATAATGGTAAAAGGATCAATGCAACAACAGGAGTCAATGATCATAAATATATATGCATCCAATATAGGAACACCCAGATAGGTAAGACAAGCTCTTAATGACTTATAAAGAGACTTGGACTCCTACACAAAAATAGCAGGAGACTTTGACACCACATTGTTAATATTCGACGGATCAACAAGATAGAAAATTAACAGGGACATCTATGATTTGAACTCAGACCTGGAACAAGTTAACTCAGAGAATATTTATAGAATTCTTCACCCCAGGTCCACAGAACACACATTTTTCTCAGTATCATATTATACCTATTTTGAAAGTGACCACATAATTGGAAGTAAATCACTCTTCAGCATTTGCATAGCATTTCACAGACTTAAATGAAATGTTGGTTGGCTGTCTGTTTGTTATTTTCTTCCCTTATTGCTTCCTGTATCTGCTGTTAAGCACTATTGTCGGCATAAAAGAGGTTTTTAATACCTATTTTTAGATTGCATTCCAGCCTGGGCAATAGAACAAGACTCCTGTTTTCTCTACCCCTTTCTCTTTCTCTTTCTTTCTTTCAAAAGAATAAATAAATAAATTAAATAAATCAGTCTCCCCCCAAAAAAAATGATGGAAAATTTTGTATGAAAAAAATTCTTATTATTAAGTGGCAGGATTAGAAACTCACTATTTCATGCGTGTAATACCAGCACTTTGGAAGGCAGAGGCAGGTGGATGACCTGAGGTCAGGAGTTCAAGACTAGCCTGGCCAACATGGTGAAACCCCATACTCCACAAAAAAAAAACAAAAATTAGCCAAGCATGATGGTGGGTGCCTGTAATCCCAGCTACTTGGGAGGCTAAAGCAGGAGAGTTGCTCGAACCTGAGAGGCAGAGGTTGCAGTGAGCCAAGATCATGTCACTGCATTCCAGCCTAGGCAACAGAGTGTGACTCCATCAAAATGAAAGAAGGAAAAAGGGAAGGAGGAAACAAGGGAAGGAAGGGAGGAAGGGAGGAAGGGAGGAAGGGAAAGAAATAGAGAAAGAAAGAAAGGAAAGAAAGCAAAGAAAGAAAGAAGAAAAGAAAGAAGGAAGGAAAAGAAAGAGAAAGAAAGAAAAAGAAAGAGAGAGAAAAGAAATCACCACTTCTACTTTGTAACTCCTAATGAAGTGGTGTATGTAGACTGTTTTCATCAATGGCTGTGGAGCCATTTAATGAAAAGTTAAAGGGCAACTTTAGAATGCAGAATCGGGTTGACGACACTGAAACCCACTGTCAAACACCTTGTGGTAGGTAGGACCATGAGTTCCTAGGAGCCTCCTGTTGTAATGAAACATCCAGTGTCACCAAAGAAGTAAGAAAGTGGTTCATTCTAGTCCAGCCACTGTAATAGAAAAAGCATAAGCATGAGTAACTAGGTCTTGAAGAAGCCATTACCAATGCAGAAAGTAGCTGGTGCTTTTTATTTAAATCATCTGGTTGCCATCATGCAATATATGGCCTGGGAAAAAAGATGGAGAGAGAATTACTAGAGAGGGAAAAAAAGAGACATTGAGAGACACACCAAGCCATGCTACCCAGGAAGCTTTGGGGCTCTAACAAATCATCTCCAAAAAGACATTTTTCAGAAAAGTAGAAATTTGTACACTGGCCAGGTATATGATAATACTGAGAAATTATTTTAAGTTTGCTGGGTGTAAAAATGTTATTATGGTTATGATTTAAAGTCTCATCTGCTACAGAGACATCCTGCAGTATTTATAAATAAATGATTTTATGTTTGGGATCTCTTTAGAACACTTCAAGGGAGATGGGGGAATGACAGGAAGTGTGAGGAGTTATACTGCAACAAGATAAGCAAATGCATTGTTGAAGTGACCAATGGACAACAGGGCTCCATTAACTTCCCTCTACTTTAGTACATATCTGAAAAATTTATTAATATGCAATAATAACACTAAGGCCAATCATCAATGTTAAGCCACACGGCTTTCCTGGAAGCAGAAAAAGGCCCCAGAGATTCTGAATTGCAACACTCAGACTACATTTAGCCCCACCCAGGAAAAATATTTGCTTACAACTGGTGTCTCTGACAACATCATTCATTCAGAAACTATGATCTTAATCAACTAGAGCCCAGAGTTTCTCTGAGACATGCTAGGTTGTCAGCTTCACCTTATATCACAGGAAATTTGACTATTTCCACCAGTCTCCAAAATGAGTAAGTCATATTTTGATTGTGTCTGCCATGGTCTTCTGGGGGATCTTCATTATCATTGGCACGATAGAGCACACGGCAGCTGGTGAACCAAAGGCAGCAGCCCTCATCCCCAGAAAACTCATTTCAGGGAGAGGGGGGAAAAGGCAATAAAGTTGTCAGTGCAATAATGCTTCACCTTGTGAAGCGTGAATGCCTCAATGCTGGGATATGTTTTTGTTTAGTCAATTATCCCCTTGTCTGCTAAGAATAGAAACTGCAGCTGCTTAGGCATAAGAAGAAAGTTGTTCATTTCTTTGAAAAGTGTTTTCTTTCTTCACAACGTGCCTAACTCAGGCATAAGCTAGTTCAAACCTTTCTAGGGTCCTCCAATTAGCTGCAATTAAACATGTACAAATGCTACTCCAATGAGACCTGTCTGCATATAGTTTATAAGAGGCATCATTTTTCCTAACGTTTTTCTTCCACTCCTAAGGAAAGTACAAGCTCTGTGTAGCCATTTCAGGAATGGTTGCTAAGTTTATGTGTCAGCCTGAAGAGATGAGATTTTGCATGAGATTAACATTTAAATTGATAATCTTTGGGTAAAACAGATTGCCCTCCTTAATGTAGGTGGACCTCAACCTATCAATAGAAGGCCTATTAACAGAACAAAAAGACTGACCTCCCCAAGCAAGAGGTCCTCGAGTACTCCTCCAGTAGCTGGCCTACCAGACTATCTGCCCTTTCAGGCCTCTGGGGTCTCTAGGCAGCTGGACCACGCTGCAGATTTTGAACTTCTCAGCCTTTACCTAATCACAAGAGCTAATTCCTTTCAGTAAATCACGTATCATATATGTATGGGAAAAATGCAACCTAAATCATATATACATGAAATTCTAATTCTCCTAGCATAAGTCTATGCATTTAACCTTATAGAGCTAAATGCCCTGTAAAAATAAAGTGGATTTCTTCTTCTAATTATTTGCATTATATACAATTATTTGCATCATATATATGTATATATACATATATATTCTATTCATTCGCCTTCTCTAGAGAACCCACACACATCAGCGGAAGGAAAATGGTTCATCTACCTTAAATGCTCAGGTTTTCGATTTTGCTACCTCAGACCTTCAGTTGATATAGAAATACTTGGAAACCACCTAATTCCCTAAGACGAATCCTTCCAGGATCAGTTTGGGTGAGGACTGAGCTGTAAGCAGTGATAGAGTATGGTGTCGTGCTGTGGCTTTGAGTGTGACCCATCACCCCAATGACATGTCTTCATCTCCAGGCTCCCTTTCATTGAAAAGCATGCGTTTGGGTTTGTTTTATGAAAATGTAATAAATGTTTACCTTTTCAAGGAAAACATCAACCTTCAAATTGGGACATAGAAATCTAACATCAAATTTAACCTCCACTAAATAC